GCTCGTCCACTCAACCGTGTGCCCAAAGCAATTAGCAAATTTGCATCCCACTCACACCCGTACAAGTCGCAATTCCGTCCAACTCATCGAGCCACGCCTCCACATCACCGGCCGCAAATTGCTCCAACCGGGATAACTCCATCGCGAATGGTCACGGCACCAGTGTAGCGAGAAAGACACGACAGGGGGGTAGACGTTTATTGCACACCGAAAGTGGGCACATACCGGGTCTCACGCGCGCCATCGAATATCGACTAGATTTCCGTATCACAACGCAACACAGGTACGGATGTCAGAGACGAGCTAGTCCATTCGTCTCGGGATCTCTGACTTGGAAGTCCCGCCTTCCTGTTTTCGCCTCGACCTCAGCTTCTCTGTACCCGATTTGGATCGGCCAGAAGTCGTTCGAGAGCTCTCAACTTGCTTGTTCTGGGCTGTGTCAATCGGCTCGGCCTCGGTCATGTGGGCTGCGCTAGCGGCGTATACGTCTGATTTATTGCGCTGTCCACATATTTCCGCACCGTAGTTCCGGACCCAGGCTCGTCGCTAGCCGTTCTTCTCGATCCGCTCTCAAGTAGCTCCGAAGAGCTCCCGCGAGGCATTCTTGGAAGCGGCCTCTCTACACACTGACGTCCAGTCACGGTTAATTGCATTAGGTAATCATAGCGGGGACTTATAACGTGCCGTCCCCATAAATGGCATAGAAGTGATGATCAGTGTTACCGTAACACGCGTACAAATGTCTTTCTTCTTAAGGAAATAAGCATGGATTGATTTCAGGACCAATACCATTTCTAATCACGTTAAATTTGCAAACACAGGAATGCATATATTTGTAATGAAATATAGGCGTTCACTTTCAGATAGTATTATGTATACATAAATGTACGCCTTATTAACCTATATCCAGATATATATATATACGGGATTGAGATTGATAATGCGCACCTTTATGTATGCATAATGCAGTCTGAAATTGAGTGCACATATTTAATTACATATACATGCATTCGAATTTTGCAACTTTATATATATATATATATATATAGTTCCATAAACCATTTATGTACCCTATGAAACTCAGTTCGCCGTTGTGAGCATTTATCCACCACATACTGACTAGGGACAGACATGCATTTTCACTTCTCCTTCACCTTAGATCACTTAATTTACTGCTCCCCAGGCATTCATATATGCAACTGACGCTTTCGCTTTACTTTTCCTTTATAAATACGCATTCCGTAACGAGTCCCATATGTAAATATGTTTGCGCATATCGCATGGTTATTTGTCTATTCGTGTCACCTCCGTTTACCCTGTTATTTACATATTATTCTCATAGCCATTTCTTTTCTTGTCCACCTATCTCTCGAAGTACGCTAACCTGTCTGCCCAGTAATTTCCCAAAAAAGAAAACACACAGGAGCATATGAGGTAAGCATAATATTCATTTCCCCTTCACTTTAAGTGTATCACTCCTCATGTACACCCTTAAAGTGGCTGTTTTTCATTTTCTGACTAACGGAGTGCACTAGTTACCTATCCAATAACATAGGCCCAATTTAGACCCATTGATGCAACTGGAAACGCCGGGCACCTGCTACCCAGGTTACAGTAAAGTATAGTACTATAAAAGCGACAGGACCTCGATTCCTTTAAACATCCAATACTGGTTTAGTTATAGTATTTACAACTTATTTAACTACATATCAATAGCCTACGCTACCATTATACTCCTGGCTTTGCAGGTTGACCTTGGCCCGCACACCTGTTCCCGCCAAATGTGAAAGTCCTGGTCCCGGTAAGGAACCGTCTGCAACAGAAATGCCCGCCTTCAGGATTCGGAGACCGCTTGATGGTCTCGATCCGGAGGCATGGTGCAGGAAAGAAATGTTTTATATTTGGGGATTGCAATGCTCTTTCTGTTAGCTGAACCTTGCTTGTTCTGTGTGATCGACCTTCAGGCTCTTTCGACGCCAACTTACTCGGGACCACTCTTCACTGTAATTTGCTTCAACATGTTACTAGGCAAACTCATGTTACTCCAGATCAGAGGCCGCATATTCTGGATCTCGTGCTCTCCGCAGCACAATCAGACATCACGTACCTTTCAGTTCTACAGCCCATTGGCAGCAGTGGTCACTGTACTGTCTCATTCTAGTAAATAAATAAATACTTTATTCTCGACTATGCGAGGCACGCCCATGGAGACATGATCAAGTAGCATGACAAGTAGCTTCGCTATTCACAGCCAACGGGCCGACTGTTGAAATTTCTGGCGTGCCGATACACTTCGTCTGAAAAAGACCACAAGCGTTGTCGATGGGAGGATCCCAGAACACCTCAATGTTGACGAAGCGTGGAATCAATGGTACTTCAAGCTGACGTTGCTCAATGAACCGGTCATCCCCTTCTCTACAGGCCCTCCCTGGATCGAGCACGAATTGAGATCATAATGATAAAGGACGATAACTATGGGATTGTTTCAGTATTACACGATTTGACCTTCACTACTGCCACTACAAAATAGTCAGGAATGCCTGCAAAATTAAAAAGCGCGAGAAACGCCAATACGAGCTGTCATTAGCTACACTTTCTACAACGACCTCCAAGGCACTCTTCCTATACCTTAAACCAAGCCCCAAAGCTGGCAGTGCCGTCCCTGCCTTGCCTCCCTGTTAGCAACTGGACCTAGTTTATGAAGAGGTTAAAAAAGCTAGCCGTTTGGCACAGCAATATTCCTCTGTCTACTAGACCGAAAGGCCACTCACGGATAACATTGCGCCCACTCCACCTTCCCTATTAGAGCAGGTGAATGTTAACACTGACGTTATAATGAAATTGCTTGAACTAGACCCTATTCATCGTCTGGTCCCGGTGGTTTTCAGTCATTATTCCTTAAGACTGTGGCTGGGCACACTGCTGCTCCGGTCACAAATCTCCTATCGCTCCTTTGAGGTCGGGCAACTTCCAACTGCCTGGAAGGTAGGAATTGGTAAACATATTTACAAAGGACGGAGCCAACAGGATTTAGGCGTATATCGTCCCATCTGCCTGACTTCGAGTTTGTGAAAAGTGATGAAACGGATTCTGAAACGAACACCTCGCCTTCATCGCGCTGAGTTGTTCTTCTTTCATGCCCAATTTGGTTTCCGTAGGGCGCGTTCATACGCCACAAATTTGCTGGTAACTAGGGAAAATGGGCAAGGGCCTTAAATGCTGGTAAGCGTTTGGATGCTTTGTTTGTTGATTTCAGTAAGGTTTTTGATAAGGTAGCACATGAGCGGCTCTCCTTCAAACTCCGGGGAATCGGCGTCACTGGCAATCTTCTTTCTTGGGTCTACGATTTCCTGGACGGTCACTTCATGTAGGTTAAAGTGAAGGAAGCACTTTTGATCAAGTTTTCATGACCAGCGGGCTTCCCCAGGGTTCTGTACCCGACCCCGAATTCTTTAATATCTTTATCAACGACCTGTCATCGGAACTGCAGACCGACTGCTTAATTTACGCGGATGATCTGAAGCTGTGGATTGGGGTACCCAGTCTGAAAGATACAGACAGAGTTCAAGTGACGCTCCATCTGCTCCACCACTGGTCAAAAAGTGGTATTTGCCCACTAACCGTGACAAATGCTCTCTTGTTCCAATCGGGGCTCCTGAGCCATTTGTGGCTTGGCATATCCTTAGAACATTGTATTTAATGTTAGTAAAAGCTCGAGCTTTACATGACCTATAAACAGCAACAATAGGCGCCTTTTTGAGCCAAAGGCTATGGAGAAGGACCCTACTCGTCCTCCTGTCTAAGTCCGGGCGTCCTGGCAGTATCCGATCCCACATAAAACCATGCCTTTTACTTTAAACAAAAAGTTCATCCTGCATCAGCCATCGCACAGATTAGCAAGGGTCGCCTTATCTGCTCAAACAGCAGTGAGGATAAGCGAAAACATGCTACTGCTGGCGCCTGCCTTCTATCTTTTCCACCTGCTTCGTTTACTCCCATACAGACCCCTATTATTAACCTTCGTTTTACAAATCCCAGCTTAACTGACATCAACCG